ACAAAATAGATCAGCTTTAAAAATGCAGCTCTCTTCAGCGATATCATATCTCTTCTCCTATGGCGTTCGTCAAGTATTAAAAAAGGAAGAAAATTTTGTAACTGCTGAAATGTTTGACTTCCTTGCACTTTCATGATGGTGCCATTTCTGACACCTTTCTTTTCATTAAGTTAACGGCGGGGTCCTAATCACCATTTTCATGCCATAAGCCAGGAGTGCCTTATTTTAAAGGCAGAGTCAAGTAACAAGCAGTGCGCAGCGCTCTGTTTTACTCCCATTAAAGTGGCACTCATTTATCAGTCTCGGAAGGAAGAAAAGCAAGTAACACATCCTGAGCTCGAATCCGGAACATCTCGGTTCTCAGTCTGATGGTCTACCGACTGAGTAACCCCAGCTTGTAGAATCTTTCTTTGTACCTTATGGCAAGGTGACGATATCATTAAACGACGGCATTAGTAACCTGAACGTATTCGTCGGTAGCGACTCCTTCGTTGACCAGCTTTTCGGTATACTTGGTGAGGACAGAGGGCAACTGGCGAATGCGTTGGTACATCAGCGGCTGTGTAAACATCGGTTCGTCCTGTTCATTGTGACCGTGTCTACGATAGCACACCTAAAAGAGGGCAGCAAGTCGGTACACTGAGTCAGAGGTAAAAAGAAGACAAACAAGATACCTACCAAATCGATAACAACGTCCTTCTTGAACTTTTGACGGTACTCGGAAGCGGCGTTGCAGACAGCAGTCACCGCTTCGGGATCGTCAGCGTTCACGTGGAAAATTGGTGCGTTTACCACCTTACCGACGTCGGTGCAGTACGGCATAGACCGAGAGAAACGAGGGTCAGTTGTAAATCCAATCTAAATCGATACTAACATGCAGGATATGAAACAATGAAGTTATGTTGAGCAGAAAAACAGGCAACAGGCACAGAATAATGTTGATTTTCTCTCTCGAAGTAATGACTGCACAGACACTGGTTGTAGTTGGATCGAATATACCAAAAAAATTGTTACTAACTCCAACGTTAAGATTGTACAATGATCTTCCTCTGGGTACTACAGTTTATACTGATCCTACACAAGAAATTTACATACGGTACAAAATGCATGTAAATTCAACGAAATCTAATACACGTTATCATGCCCTAGACAGATCGTACGAGCGGTTGCCATTATCAGGCAGTCAGATATCATACCATTTTAAGATAATGGTCACTCTCTGGTTTAATGTGAATGTCTTCGAAAATAACTATGAACCAGTTGACGACAATACTTCTATGACTGACCGTGAAAGAAACAAGCATATAGCGTTAGTAATGTAATAACTGCAATAGGTCACACGACATGACAATGACAATGCAGTGTAGTTGAAGCTTGATTCTACTATTTTGCACAGTGTGTAAAATCTTTGTGCAGAGCTGGCGTCTTTTACTCAGGGCCGTAGTTTAAGACTGAAACCTTGGAGACAGTAAGGTTTTTAAGTCGTCTGGGCTGAAAACCATTACATCACAAACAATACTGAATATTCTTATGGATAAAGCAGAATCAAAACGAATTTCCAACGCCATGTGCTATGCATTACCTGATTATTTACAACGATGTGAATCGAGCCATGACACGTGTATGCTGGTAAACCGGAAAGGTCAAATGTTTCGTAGACGATGCCTTGGCCGCAAAACGCCGCGTCACCATGCATCAGAATGCTCATCACTTTATCGCCTTGATGATCGCCGCGATAGAACTGTTCGGCTCTGGTCTTGCCCTGAACTACCGGGTCAGCCGCCTCCAGATGTGACGGGTTGGCGATCACCGAAATACGGATGTTTTTCTGTGACTGCTGGTTGTAGCGGTCGATGCACACGCCCAGGTGGTACTTAACGTCGCCACTACCTTCATCCTCTGGTTCGAGAGTGCTGAACTGCGTGAAAATCGCTTCCAATGGCTGGCGGCACACGTTTGCCAAGATGTTCAAGCGTCCACGATGCGGCATCCCGAGGACGAAGCACTCGACTCCCAACGCCGACGACCGATCGATGATTTGTTTCAAAGCCGGGATCAACACCTCAACGCCTTCCAGCCCGAACCTCTTTTCGGCTGGCCATTTCTTAGCCAGAAATTCTTCGAACCTAAATGACACGTTGCAGTGCAATGCTATAAGAACAATGCGTTAAATTGACGCATTTAAAGCATCGCCCAATAAGTACTTTGTCGAGCGAATCAGACGCTTAAAAAGAACTTTCTTCTCCTCCGGCGACATCTCCAATTTTTGAGGGGTCTCGAAACGCTCTTTAATCCAGTTGTGCCTTTCCGGGTTGCTAATGTGCACAAACTCGATCCCAATGTGATTACAGTAAGCATCCTAAACAAAAACGAAATTTAAATATTTAATAATCAAAACCAGACGTATATTTGGTTCAGAATACGACCGCTGCGTAAGACACAGTTAGTATAAATATGAAAGTATTTCATTTACAACACGCACACGTTAGAACATGGTTTATGTATAGCGTTCTCTTGCGCATTAACACCAAACTAAGTTCATGCATTGATGTACTTCATGCACTGTTGTTACATAATGTATGAAGTATAACCCATCCAAGACCAGATTTCACGGGGTACTGCATCGCTCCGTAACTCGTAGTGAAATGGCTCTAACGAATAAAATGACGCGACACCCATCCTGTGCACTGGATGTGCTCACGTATCATTGAACCATGACCTGTAAAAATGCCGCTCCCCCCAAGAAAAAAATAGGAACAAGATAGCGGTGCAACACGTCCAGAACTGTAGTCTTCGAGGAATTACGGGTTATTTAACGTTCAATCTCATGGATAAATACGAAACGATCCATTATGAATCCAATAAATGGGATATAAGTAGTATTTAAGGGTAGTTCGTTCAAAAACAGTACAGGGTGCGAAATTCAGTCAAATTCAATACTGAGTTAAGGAATGTCGTCCAGCTGGCTCAAAGTCAAACCGCCCAGAACAAACACTCACATAGACACTACTGTTAAACAGTTGTAAATGGGTTTTCATGTTGTTCAATAAATGCTTACAGGTCAGGAGGAATCAGAAGATAAATTTCAACATCGCTGAAAACTTAAAGTACGGCACCAATTACAGTAAATCTACCCAACGGTTGAATGCCACTAATTAGTAGTTTAAATGACACATGAACTAAGAAATCATCACAGACATATATAACTAACAATAAAAATAAACTCCCTAGTCCAGTGAGAAGATAATGCGAAGTTGCAAAAAATCATGATGATATAAAAACGGTCTTTATTGTGTCTCTCGATGTTTTGAGTCTGACGTCTTCGTTCTGGATATTCATATGGGTTGAGAGTAAACCTCGGTTTCGGACAAAGATTTATTACTTATTTAATCAGGTTCCATAATAATGTTATTAACAAAAGCAAATCGGACCATCGTCGAATCGTGACTAGATGACGACATATACTGCATATCGAACAATATCGTACAAGAGAATGTAACTCAAGGGGCCATCTGCTTGGCAGAGGACCAGAACAACTTGAAAAACATCCTGAAGCAGCTGGTCCGTAATTCGGAATGTATGGCAGCGTCTGAAATGAATTAATAAACCTTTTTCTGATCATAGTTATGTAAGGTGCCTCATATTGTTACTATAAAATGCTCACTTTCAGTCATGCATTTCGATTTCGATATTTTTGCGTTGCAAGACATTCATGATTTATCGGCTGCTATATGGCCTTTGTACCAAAATTTCACTCATCCGCTGACGAAGATCAGCTGCTATTATCGATCATTACACACGTATTTCTTTTTAAAGGCTATCAATGTTAAAATTTGTCCTACAGTTTACAAGTCAATCAAATCTCATAAACCTTGAGGCAATGTCAGGAAGAATATGGTCTGACGTTCCCAATCTAACTCACACAGTGCAATTGATGGTAAGATTGAATGTCTTGTGCTACTCACCTGATGACTGCTTAGCAACTTTAAAACGAGGCATATTATACAGTGGCTTTGCTGCACGTTTCACAAAAAAACAGCCGCTAATTCTGAGATTAACAGAAAGTCTGTCCGTTTTAATCCCTTAGAATCAAGAGTTAAATAACAGTAAGAAAAATAAATAACTTCGCAAACCTGCTATCGCCAGTAAAAACTTAGAATTTCGAACGTTAAGTTTACAATACTAAATTTAGCAAGTGCAATCCTCTATTAAATAACAGACGATAAAACATACAATTTGATGAAATGAAGAAAGATGGACGTAAACCCTGACCCTAGAGGCAAGGAGCTTTACTGCCTTATGCTAAAAATTATTTGTTAGTCAATCTTTCAGGGCATTTCACGTAATTTCTTCTTCCTATTGCAGAACGGATGCCTCAATTTTTGATGGACTATTTAGTGGTATAAGGCATATTACTGACTCTGCCATCGAACGCTAGGCATAAAAATTCAGAAATATGCACATTATCTGGTCTTCGTGATCTTAGCTGCACTGATGGCTCAGCTTTCTCTTCCCTGAAAAGGTTGATGATATTCGTTTATATGATTTAAAAGACCACTCATACCGAGGTTAATCCAGCAACATGATCAATGCTGCAATGTGGGACAAAAGGTCACATTTTAACGTAATCTAACATTTCGTTACTTCAGTACTCAGATTTACACAGTGCACTCATACGTACAGCACCAACGCCATCGCTCACAAACTGCTGACAGTTGGAACAAATGCTTCGGATGCGGTGTGCGTACCTTCAAACGTGCGAGGATCTCGCGCAAGGTCATTGACCTTTTGTCACCACCAATGAATGTGCTGCCAGGAAGTATAAAATGCCTATCCAGATCCTTTTCGCCTGTTCAAAATACAAAGTTATACAAATTAAGCAGGAAAGTAACTTTACTACAAAACCGAAATCGTCAAGAAAACGCCACTCAACTCATAAACTTAATAAATTTATTACATTATGCTGTACCGCGTACATAATCACAGAGTAAAATACATATAAGAGTTAACCAACTCATTTCCAAGAGTTAAATTAAGAAACTAATTCTCATGTCACTGTAAAAAAAAGCCACTGAGAAAAATATTTCTACGTTCTCTCTGGCAATATATTAGATTAGTAATTATCTCTACACCATAGGCTGTATTTGATATTTGATATCGTTCAACGATGTGAAAAATCTTGCAATGCCATGGTATACTTAAAAGACCGTTGCCATTTTGCAAAGAGGTGTATGGACGAACCACGTCTGCTGCCAAAGTCGAAGGACAGCTATATGAAAGATTCCTTATTACTTTGGAGTTCACCAGAGAGATGTGATTTCGTCTATATAATTCAACATTGATCTGCACTTTCTTCTCTGAAACACTGATGACTCTGGAAGAGACAAAGATCTCATTCTCGAGGGATGGCGCAGTTCACGATACTCGGCTAGATATCTTACTGATCAGGAGTATGCAGATGATACTGTTCTGGTGGGTAGTATGCAGGACGGCACTGTCAGCTAACGGCTTCAGTTTTGCAACACAGTTGCGAAAGCCGGCATACACCTCTACGCCCAGAAGTCTAAAGTGATGAGGAACCCATCAGACACAGTTTGAACAGAAGGACAAGCCACAGAGGCAATCGACCAATTTATGTATCTCCAGCGACGGCATCATCCAATCAGAATTAAATAGGAGGATCGTTGTAGCATCTAGTGCTTTTCGTAACATATCGAATATTCAGGCTGAAAAAAGGTAGTCCTTTCCGCAAAAATTCACTAGTAACTTGTCTGGTCAGGTCGGTGTTGTTGTACGGCATGGAGACAGTTACTCTAAAGAAAGAACAAGAACGACTGTTGAGCCGAACGCAGGGGCTGCCTCAGACGCATAATTAGGGTTAAATGGTAGGACCATGTAAGTTATTTCTCTGTTCTCTTCCAAGCATAGGAAGCCTCAATTGACATGGAGATCAAAACAGAGGCTGACCTTGTTAAATAAACTGGCTGAGCCGAAGCCATTTACATCAGTCCGCGAGCTTCTCATGTGTGAGCGGAAATACTGCAGACATTGTCCAGGAGGTTAGCATGCAACATGCATCAACAAAGCAGACGCAAATTTGCATTCAGAGAGGAATATTTGTTCCTATGATGCAATAACCAGTGCCTTATAGTAAATATTGTAAAATTAAGTTACAGAGGACATTACAAACAAAAAACTTTTGCTTATGCAGGCGGCTCATGATGATAATCACACAGATAAAACTGCGAAACTTCTATACTAGTCAGAATCCCGACCAAAGTCTAAACGTGCTCAAATATAATTTCAACTGATTTAATAATGACAATAAAATAAAAAACTGGTGATCAGTGCATATTGAATTTAATTACAGATGTTATAATTGCACAGAAGTTTGTAATTACGCTCGGTCTATCATCAGCTACAAGTACATTATAGTGACTGAAGATGAATCAAGCTTGGTCTCAAACGTCAGATGTGCGATTATAACGTGCAAGATTAAAATCATTATGCCTAAGATGTGCATACGACAACTGATAAGATCATTTTTTCGTCTGAACATTTTCAAATCATTCGAACAATTAAACAATCAAAAAACAAACTAAAAATACCACAATAACATTAAAAATACACTAACAGTACAATTTCAAATAATCAGGCTCTTATTTGCCATGTTGACCGTTTGGCCGATCGACACAGTCAGCCTAATTCAGATAATCAACAGCAATTGGGTTCATTAGCCCTAAGAACCGATGTCAAATGGGTTGTATCCTGTAAATCTGCCGCAAACTTAAAAAGAAAATCATGTTGCAACAAATACCGTGCGATTAGCGACGGAAAAAGAACCTGGATGGACTAAGCATTTTACACACAAAACTTATATGAATTTACCTTGACCAACTTGACAGCAGGCCATAAAGTTCGAAATAATTACAATATGCAATCCACGAAAAAAACAACAGCTTTAATGTACTAAATAGTGTTCTAAATGATTGGGACGAGTAAAAAACAACACAAAAAACCGTTAATTAAAATTTAATTGATGTATTACCTGAATATTGCAGTCCAGAGTGGCAATAATAGTTTATACTGGTAGATACTACCGGAAAGTTAATTTACTTTTCAGTCCAGAGTAGCAATGTATGGTTTTTACCGCATTACTGCCTAACGCTTACCGTATATAAAAACCATGGCGTAGACTTAAGTATACAGGCAACAATCCCGGGGTTTAGGAATATGGGTAAGTTATGTAATAATTCAATAAAGTCGTGATATTACCGAGGTGGACTGTGACGGCAATCTGACTCAGTTCAAACTAGCATAGACGGATTACCACTTTGGACGGTAACAAATATACCAATATACAGTAAACGCATTACGTCACAGAGCAGTACCTACGAATTGGTGCTAGTACAACAGGACTTCTTGAAAGTAAATGAAGTAGTACCTATCCGTTACTATAGAGATTGTTTGCAGCAGCTGGTTCGTTTGAGACTGAAGGATCGTTGCTTTATTAATCAAGTTTAGTGCTGTTTTTCTCAAAACGACTACTAAAACAAGTACGAAACATTTCATCACCGAATCTATTTTGAAGAGAATGCTGAATAAAAATACTGTTAAAAGCAAAATTGTTCACGTCCATTAAACGATATATTTCTGATCAGCAGTTGTTGTGACTGAATAATTAAAAGCAAAGGCCACCTGAGAGAAAATGTGGCTGAATGGAAATACAAATGTCGATCTGAGTGGACAACTGCCACCTGAAAGTTCTAGCAACAGTGTTAACAGTAAAACATATGACGTAATTATTAAGTCTAATTTTCTGTAAAGGACATAATACATAGCAGAATGATGAAGAAGCTAATGGCTACAAACGAAACGAACGACAGCAAACATGACTGACCAAACATTGAGACAATATCTAATTAAGTAAAGATTAATATTCGTGAACGTCGGAAGTATATTACTAGGGAATCGAATTCAAGTTGGCTCGCTACTCATTGCTGAATTTCAGATGGAGCCTCAAGACCGAGATCAAGACAGGCACCACTGACTGCCTGAATATTTCAACTCTGGCATATAGGAAATTCCGTTTCGTACATTTTTACCACAACATTTTATCTGCAATTAGCCAACATACCAAGTAAATGGTATAAATGACCATAGACCCATTGGTATGAAAAGCATGCTGTCTGGGCAGACAACTTCATGCGTCTATGCAGGACGGTAAAGCTGTTAGTTCAAACGGTTCTAAAGCACAGAGAACGCAAACATTACTGGGGGGATAAAAGAGGAAGATTAAAAGTGCCATTAAAGTCAGCTAAGGGCTCCTTTATCTATACGCACTGATATGCAATTCTAACAAATTTTTCCACTGATAAACACTTTAAGCTGAATATTATAAGTTAATTATACATCCATTACGCCATTAAAAAAGTAAAAAGGCTAATCTTAAGAAATAGGCAAAATCTTTGCAAAAATTCTCTTTAACTCCAGAGCGGTTTTGTTCGAAACAGTTTCTAATATAAAGATCAACGGCTTTTACAAGCAGACAGACAGAAGTCTGAAAACTAACCTGTAAGCCCTGATCTCTGCTGATATATGTTGCACCTTACAAAAAGTGTTTCCGCGTTAGTTTGAACAAATCATCGATCTCTGAAATCTTGGTTTTGTATAGGGAACAGTTTTGATTTCTTGCTCTGACACCGACAAATGATTTCGTACGTACAACCCTGGCGCTCGTTTAAAACGAAAACGTAACCTGGCTTGCGTGAAAAGTATTAACGACAGTAAAAATCTGGCGGAGTAAGCAAATAATTGCCCTACTTAACATTACTTTAAAAAATCGCCTCAAGAGCATCCAAGAGCCTCAAGAGCCTTGAATATGAAGGCAAGCAACACATAACATCGATGAATGGTAGTGCAGAGAAAAAGTAACGAATGAACTGATTGAACTGAATGAATGCCTGAACTGCCATCTGCGGAGAGATCATTAGCGATCTTAACCACGTAACATGGTAATGTGCTCTTTCAACTTTCGAATAAATCTATTTTGCACTGCCATTTCACTAAAAGTCATCAGAAACCTGATAGCCGGCTATTTAGTCCATTTTACAGAAACTGAGTTTAAACTTTTGCTTAATTGTTCCATGTAAAATAGCAAGATACAAGCATCCAAATTCACATAGAATCTTCTAATACTCAAGCTCCAGGCAAGTTTTCTGCACCTGAGACTACCTGTCTGAGCAAGTGCAATGCCACCTGAATACTTTATGCGCATAATGTGTCAAGAGAAAATGCGGTCGGGCATGTAGCATATATAACAAAAGAGAGAGAATTATGGGTCGTACTTAATAGGTATTGAAAAGGTTATACATTGCATTTTGTGTTGTCATAACGAATGTACTTTTGTCATCTTGTGGTAGGGCTCTCGGTGGCCTAAAGAATTTCATATAGACAAGTGTCCCCAATTCTGAGGTAAAATAGCGCCTTCTTTTAAAAAGAGCT